CTCATTTTTGTCTTGGTCAAGTTCCCGAAGCTAAGCCTGTTGGTATTTTAATTGGGATTTCCTTTAACTTATAATATGGAAAGATTACAAAATTTAGTCTTAACTCTTTAAGAACAAAGTATATCTTTCCGGTTATTTTAGTGGTCTTTAAAATATCTCTTAATAGAGTTCGAAAGTTTTCTTCATATAGGTCTTTCAAATTTATTTCATTTAATCTTAGATATTTTGTCATCTTGATTGCTATTGCAAAGAGAAATATTTTCTTCTATTTTAAGTTCTTGTTTGCTCATTTCTACTAATGAGTTAGTAGAATTTATCTTGTTCTAAATTGTTTCCCAGTTGATTTTATTTTTTAGATCTTTGATCATATCAGCTGTAAGAAATGATACATTTTGCCTCTTCTTTTCAAATATTCATACTTATTCCTTTTTCCTGTCTGATTGTGGTGACTAGTGGGCATCCTCTTTGTTCCTCATTTTAATGGGAATACTTCTGAGGTTTAATTATATATGATGCTGACTTTTGGGTTTATTTTTATAATGTCAGTGAAATATCTGTGTATTCCTATTTAACTGGTCTCTCTCTTCTTCCCTTGTTCACTTTTTTTTCACTCAGAGGTGAATGTTGAATTTTGTCAAATGTGTTCTGTACCCTATTTGATAGTGTCCTAATTTTTTCTTCTTTTACTTATGGTGGATTAGTTTAATAGAGTCCTAATATTGAATCATCCTTATGTTTCTTCTTCATGGTGTGTTTTGAAGAAGCACTGATGAGCATTTTCTGTTAATATATTAATACTGCTGCTTTGATACAAGTGAGATTTCTATTTAGTTTTCTTTTTCTGAACTTGGTCAGGTTTTGATATCAGTGTTACACTGACTTTGTAAAAATAGCTCAGAAATGTTTCTTCTTTCTCTATTCTTTGAAAAAGTTTGAATAGTATCAGAATTGCATCCCATGAAGGTTTGAAAAGAGTTAACCTGTGAAAAAGTCTGGGCCTGACACATTTCTGAAAGATACTCTCATTCCCCCCCCCCCCCCCCCCCCCCCCCCACCCCCGGTGCTTATATTGGTCTGTTTAGGTTTTTCTCTGTTCTGGGATCAGTTTTGGTAATTTATAGTTTCCCAGAAAATCAACTCTTTGATCCAATTATTCACATTTATTTGTTTTGCAAAGTGCTCTTGTGAATCCTTTCAGTTTCTTCGGGGTTTGCATTATTTTCCCTTTCTGGTTTCTAACTTCAAATATACGTCCTCATTTACCCCATTTTTTCCTGTTATATTGGCCAGTGGTTTATCAACTTTATTGGTCAAGTCTATTATTCTTGTTTGCTAATGTACACATTTTTGTTATTATCTCCATTGCTTCCCTAGTTCCCTTTGTGAGGGGAAACCTGAGGAATATAAAAGTGAGGGGTGGAGGGAAGCGTGCCAAATTTAGTAGCAAGGGTAGAGTGTGTGGGAGGAGCAAAGGGAGAGGAAGAAGAAAGGGGAGGCGAAACAATGTGGACCGGCAAAGGGAATTAGGGAAGTTTCCCCCAGGTGGCGCCCCTGGGAATCACTCACTCCCTGAGGCCGAAGCCGGCCTGCATCCGCCCTTGCATCCGCCCTTGCATCCGCCCAGAGGGCCAGCAGCTCTCTCTGCTCACCAGCCTAATGATCTTCAAGATTCCTGTGGGCGAGAAGAGAAAACGCTTGAGGCTGTCCCTGAATTTGGGCGGGACTTTGGCGCGGCCCTCAGCACGCTTTTGTATGGCCTTCTTCTCCCGCTGGCTGGGGATCGCGGGTTGTGCAGTGGGCTTGAGTGTGGGTGCAGTGCGCCCCCGGGATGCTGAGGGCGCCGCGCTTGTGTCCCGCACCGAGCTTGTGGATGGCGCCGAGCGCTCGGGATGCGCCGCACGGGCGACGTTTACTGAGCGGGAGGGAGGCCCCCCGGATTTCGAGTCCCCCGAACGTGCGTTGTCGTCTTCAGGATTCATGGTGGACCCCCGGGCCTGGTGGTGTCTGACGGGCCCCTCGGCTCTGAGCCTGCACGGCGGCGGCCACCTCTCCCCGGGGAACCAGCGTCGCGCCCCAACGGCTGCCGGCCGCCTCTCCCCCGCGCGCACTCAGCTCTGGCTGCCGGCAGACAAACCAAGCCCTTCAGCCGCCCTCGTAGCCCCTGGGATGCGACGCCGCTGCCTAGCCTGGGAACTCAAGGTCCCCTCAACGCCACCACCTCCGTGCTGCCAGCCAGCTGGGATGCGACGCCGCTGCCTAGCCTGGGCACTCAAGGTCCCCTCAACGCCACCACCTCCGTGCTGCCAGCCAGCCGGGGAGCGGGCTCTGAAGACCATTTCGGGCGCTCCCGGCGCTTTCTCCTCTGCCTCCCGGGCCCAGGAACAGGAAAACCAGATCCCATAAGATTGAGGCGCTCGAGCGCTCCCTTGAAAGTTACAGCGCTGGGCCCACAGCTCCTAAATCTCTTCTTCCAGCTCCCATATAGAGATTAAAATGAGAACTGCAGAAAATATGTGGTAGAATAAAGAGATATGTTTAATAATTAGCATCAACTAAAAAGGAATATAAATTTACAAAACTTATAGTTTGTCATGAACAGCACTTTTCTGATAAGGACCACTTGGATTAAACAGCAGCTTCCGGTAAATAAGGGCCCCGTCGGCCATACAGAGCACCGAGGCCACGAGTCCAAACACCTGAAACAAAGACACAGTGTCACTGCTGTGGCCATGGTCACACAGGTTTTACATGGTCTGCCCACCGGCTTCCTCTCCTGCGAGGGCACCAGGATTGCTCCCTACGCTGTCACCTAATACTAAAATGGGAAGAGACTTCAGAGATCATTTTATTCTCATTCCCAAGTTTTCCCAGTACCTTCCTAGAGAAAGGGAAAGGTAATTTAAGTGAGCAGAAACAATACTGAGGTGGTGTGGGCTCTGAAACCAATACTTGTCTGGATCTCTTGACATGCTCCTGGATATACTGTTTAAAGCCCTGCCGATGATACTTAGTTACTAATCAACATTTCTATACCCAATGATCAACTGTTTGACTTTCCTATTGCAAACTGTACTGGAGAAAAGGTCAGGTTAACACCAGCTCAAGCTTTAACCATGGTGATAGTAGCTGTGATAAGAGATTTGGAGAAATGGAGTGATAAGATGACCCAAAGTGAACTCTCAAAGGCCGGGCTACATCCACTTAAGGGGTGGGATTCTAAATAGGCCTCAGGAAAACAAAACTGAAGTAAAGGGAATAAACTAGAACATGGTCTTTAGGTACTCTGATGGCTATTTGAGAACTGGTGCCGGGGCTGGAGAAAGGGGATGTCAGTGTTATTTCACCAGCTCCATCCAACTGCCAAGAAATCTGGCTTTCTGGCTTCAGACACTGTTCCTTTTCCATCCTGAATCTCAAACGCAGCTTCCTAGGTTCTGACCATGCTACGTACCTCCTACCGGTGCATTCATGACTCTGGTACACAGCATGTTGCTGGTTCCTCCACCTGGAACCATCCCCGTTTCCTCCCCTTTAGTTCTGGCAAACCACAATTCCACTGCTGGAGAGAGGTAGCTGCTTCCTCTTCTCTGTGCCCCACAGTACTCTGTTAACAGCTCAGACACAGCTGCTTGCACTTTTGTCTCCTGTATTAGGCTCTAAGCAACTTGAGGATAGGGCTCACATTCTAGTCCAGAGCTGTCTAAACGAAATATAATGTGAGTCACCAATGTAAGCCACATAATTAATTTAAAATTTTCTAATTGCCACATTAAAAAGTAAAGAAAAAAACAAGTGAAATTAATTTTAATAATATATTTTATTTAGCCTGATACATCCAAAAGAATGTAATTTTAACATGTCATCAATATAATAAAATTGTAAATTCTACACTCTTTTGGGGGTAGCAAGTCTTTGAAATCCAGTGTGTATTTTATACTTACAGCTTATCTCAGTTCAGACCAGCCACATTTCCAGTGCCCAATAGCCACCTGTGGCTTGTGGCTCTATACTTTGTCAGCACCTACCGAAGTGCACTTAAAGAATGAATCAATGAGTGAATGAGTAAATAAGTGAGTGAAAGTAAACCCTATGCCTCATCCCTCTTTCTCCATAATTATCTTTAAAGACAACTAGGAGAGATTGCTATTACAGCACTATGTCATTTCTAGAGTAATTCCCATCCCCCATGAAGTTGCTTTGGGCCTAATGAAGGAGTTGAAAAGCCATGGATTCTGACATATGTGGCCAGTTCTCCTAAGTGGCCCATACTATGAAAAGACAAGGAAGCAGGAGGGAGATTCATTTAAGAAGAACTTAATAATTCACTTCTCTAAATCAGAACCTAGAAAAGCCAAATGATTTTGAACCCCCTGTAAGAAATCTAAGAAGAATATCAGATGGAACTGTAACTAAATTACTTGACTCTTCGTTTGTTTGGGCTTGCCTTCCAAATTAAACTGATTTGCTTCTCTTCAAGCAGTGTTCAAAATAATCCTTTAGTTACAGGGCTTCCTACCACCATCCCCTTACGATGACACATCTTCTATTAAATTCCATCTGAAGCAGGATCTGGACAAGAAATAACTGAGCTCAGAACAGCCTGTCTCACATTAGCAAGTGGGATGTATCCTTTTCTTGAAAAGGGAGAGCTCTGAAATTCATCCATGGTTTGTTTTATTCTTGACATCAGGTTTCTGAGAGTTTAGTACTGTAACTGATTCCAGTAGCTTTTCTCAGTCTGGTCTAGCCCTACCTATCTATGAGAAATATGGAGGAATCTCTTTATTTGGTTAACTTCAATTTTAGCGTGAAATCATCTTCCTTGACATTAATCAGGGCACGTGTTCACACACAAAAGTATTAAGCCATTAGGTACTGTGTACTGGCACAGAAGCCTCAAGGATGAATACAGTCTAGCTTTCTGTTCTTGTATTTATTCTTCAAGTACATTTGAATTCTGATCGAACCTGAAGGAAGAAACCAGAAAGACCTCCACTTACCCCTCCAAGGACTATATATGTTGTGGTTTCTGGGATCAGTGCCAACACCGATATAACTACCATGAATACTGCTGTAACCACTGAGTTGATAATATCCTGAAAACACAGAATAGAAAGGTCAGCTTTACATGAAGATCACCAACAAAATGAATCATCTCCCTAAAGATTAAGAAAGTTCCATTTTATTAAACAAATTTATTTAGTTTAAATAGTTTTATTTAGTTTTGGGAAGTCAAACTGCTGCAGTAAAATATCACATATATTGTATTTGGCCTGTAATGATGCCTAATGGGTCTCTTATCCTATGATACACCAATCATTTAACTCCTTAACAGGCTTATGTCTTTTTTATTTAAATGTAGTTGGAGGGAGAACTCATCTGGTTAGGAGTGGATGACGCATTATGTGGAACGTTTAAAGTAGAATGGTACACTGGGAAGTCAGGATGCTCAATTTTAATAATATAAGAGAAAGTGTGGAGTGCTCTACACCATAAAATAAACGACTTTATAATGTTACTCCAAATGCAATTAATAAATCTTAGGGCTGGAGAAAGTGGTAATTTTGGGGAAAAAGCTCCCACATATCTGTATGCAACAGCTGGCCAATTATGCAATTAGTTTTTGATGATGTAGCTCATTCATTTAATAATTTCCTGAAATGAAGCATTTTCATTCTGAACTGTGGCTTTAAGAGGTGCAGCTTACATTTTGAATGGATGTAAACTGTGGGAAAGTTAAATTGTCTTTATTCTGGAAAGGTTTATGTATATTTGCAGATAACGGTAGCAAGAAGGAATTGTTAACACAGAAATATCAAACTTCAAAACTCTGGTAACTTAGGAAAGCGGTTATTACAAAGAAAATAGGAAGAGGTTCAACAGGGACAGGGTAAGATTAGATACATTTAGGCAGAAAAAAAGTCCTCATTTGCAGGAGATAGTGAGTTCTAGGTTAATGCTCCTCTGTGCTGGGTATTTTTCTCTGCTTCAAGGCAATAGACCACACCTCTGCTTCAGACAGGCAGCCCTGCCTCCTGTTAGTAATTTGGCTAAGTGTATGTGAATGGCTTCAGATAAAAATGGTGTTCTAGGGAGTGCAGAGAATTACAGGGGGGGAAAGAAAGGATGCACCTGCCCCAGAACATCAGTGATCCTTAATGGTGGTTTAAAGCATTGCTTTTCTTTTAAAACCAAACATCAGTATGCCATGGAGTAGAATATAAATTTAATTACAAAAATGGAGATTTCACAGAAATTTCGAGCCTGTACTTCCATATCACCACAAAGCCCTGGGTTGGCTCACTTTGTGTGTTTTCTGTCCCTGGAGCACTTGAGGGGAACAGAGGAAGCCTGCTCTACAAACTGTGTTAGTTACTGCAACTTTGGGACAATGACACATATCACACATCTGTGTGCAGATGACCAAGCTCTTTCCTAATCAGTGAAGACAGTGGCCATCAGGTAGAAGTATTTACAGGTTACCTTTTCCCCACCTACAGATTAATTGGAATCTTCAGCCATCTTTGTGTCCTTCACTTTTGTTATAGTGAAAGAGCCACAGACAACTTCTCCAGCTGTGCTCTGGCCCCATTCCCATCAAGCACTCTGCTGGGACCTCACTGTTTATTACCCTCCTTTGTCCCTGGCCAGGTTTCCTCAACTCAGTGGTGGCCCCTCTAGTTACAGCTGTGTCCTTCCCTGCTCAGTCTAACAGTCCCACTGCTTTGCTGTCACCTGTCCATTCAAGGCAAACCACTCTGGGAAAGGCCCTGGGGGCCTCTATTAATACAGTCAGTAAATATAGATTTTTTTTTTCCTGGGCTTTCTTCCTTTACCTGTGACATTATTCACCACTTCTTTCTTCTTGAAATGCTCTCTTCTCTTGGCTTCTGGGACATGGGTCTCCCTTGGGTCCTCTCCTGTCCTTCTCAGGCCACTCCTCCTTTCCACGCCAGATGTTGGTATTTCCCAGTCTTGCCTTATCTTCCTCTACTCTCCGTCCGAGCCATTCTCCCAGAGCTCATTTACCATCACGAGGTGATGACTCCCAAAGCTGCAGCTCTGACTTCTCTCCCCTAAGCTTCAGACCTGAACGTTTCCATCTGAATACCCCATAAGCAACTAAAACCTTCTATTTCTCAAACTGAACTCATTACATACCACTCTCCTTGGCCCTTCCTTAAAGCTGTCCTTCCTCCTATACTTCCTGTCTTATTACCCTCTTAAGACAGTTCTTTAAATGGCAGCTATCCTTGATTTTCCTGTTACCCAGTCCTATCAGTTTTCATCAACACTTTTTCTCACCAGCTACCGTTTTAACCTTAATTTAGGCCTTTCTCATTTCCATGTCTGGGTTAGGATAAGAGACTTTTAAGCGGTCTCTGAGACCTACCTCTAGTTTTGCTCCTCTTCAAGCCATTATCGACACTGCCACCAGCGATCTCCTCAGATATGAGCTAATCATGTCACTCTCCTACTTAAAAACACCCCAAAGCTTCCAGCAGCCTTTGGATTAAAACTCAGGGCATTCAAAGCCTTGCATGCTCTGACCTCCTGCTGCCTTTCAAACCTCCACTCTTGCCCCTCTCTTCTTCACAGCCACTCGGAACTCATGCAGGTCCTTGAGGGTCCAGCTCTTTCTCCCCCTAGACCCTCACACACACTGCTCCCTGTACTGGGAAAGCTCTCTCAGCCCCATATCAGTTGGCTAACTACTTTTCATCCTCCAGCCCTCAACGCAGGCGTAGTTTTCCTCGGGCAAGCCTGTTATGACTTGGTCCCCTTCCCTTCCACACCATCCGGGTATACACCTGTCACAGCACCTGTTATACCGGATTGCTCACCTATCTCACCTTCTGGCTACATTGAAAGTTTCTCAGGTGCAAGATTTGTGTCTTGTTTTATCCAAGAAGCTAGTATAGAATCTGGGATTAGCAGGTACTTAATATTTGTTGAATAAATGATTTCATGAGATCAAGAGCAGAGAGGAATCTGGGTTTCATGATGGAGTAATAACTTAGTTGACCAATATAGCACCATTTCTAAGAGTACAGCATCAGCCAAGTGTGAGCCTCAGAGATTTGGAGACATGCTATACATAGGCCACGCTCCTTCTCAGCGTGTTCTGTTAACTTTAGGACTCCAAGTTTATTACTGGGACGTGTAAGAAGCTCCAGAGAATTACTACAGTTTGAGGAAAAATAAATGCTAAAATGTGTTAGTTTCATTAACTTTGGAAAAGCAGAGTGTGAAGAGCAACTATGTGACTTTTTGGGTACAAGATTAACAGGATGTGGACCATGTTCATCATCTCCTTGAAGAAATCCTTGGGACAATTTAGCTTCATCCTTTCTGCCACTAAATGGTATTACATACCCTGAGGGCCAACTGAGGAAGGCTTTGTAATCTCTTGTCCCAGACCTTATACTTCAGTCAGGTCCAGCTCTGAAGTGTAGATCAAGGAGGATTTTGGAGAGGCGCCATGGAGATCCTATCTATTTCCCAGCTTTCCACTCTGGGGACTTTCTCAGCTTGTGATTAGTCTGAAATGCTCATCATTGGTCTTCAAAAGTGGTTCCAGGAGGCACCACTTTAAGGGATGCTTATGGTTTGAGAATAGCTCTAAAGTCCTCTCTTCTTAATACGGGTTATCAGCTTGGATATCAGCACTCCGGAATCCAAGAGGATGAGACAAGTGCTTTTACCAGTCCAGCCAAAGGGTGGAAGGGCGGCAGGGGTCTCAGAAAGGAGACCTATGGACATAGGATTCTGGGGATAAGACTTGAAAGAGGAGCAGTGAAGTCACTCAGTCCTTCCTAGAACCAGCTTATGGTCCAGGCTGAAGGGCCAAGTATCCCTTAGTTAGTATCTTCAACTTGCCTATTTTGAAAGTTTCCAGGCCATCTGGGCATTCCACTGGGCAGTTATTCCTAATGCTGTGAGTATGGCAGGTAAAGTCCATATGCTACTAAATAAGGTTCTACAAGATGAGTTAAAAATTATGTGGCATTAATGATTACAGACATTTTGAAGTAAGAAAATGTTGTGTTTTATTTAGCCTCTAAATTATTTTGATTTTCCATTTAGTGATCAGGGATGTGTAAGATGTAGGTACTTGTGTATCTGTCTCCATTTCTATTCCCCAATTTTGAGGTCATATCAACATGCATTTAAAAAGGAGGTAAAGGTTAAGAATGCCGTATAATTTCATTAACCATGATCTTGAATTTAAATTTCTTTAGAAGATCTACACCTACGTGAATTCTCCTTAGAAAGAAAGGTCTGAAAGGTCAGCCACATCTACTGATAGATAGAGCTCAGAGGAGAATTTATGCTCCGTGGCTGCCCTGGTTCCCTGAGAATCTCTCCAGAGCACATTAGCAGTGGGTAGAGTTCCTCCTTCCTAAGCCTGTCAGAGATTCCTTAAAGGCTTAAGAAAACTAAAGAACAGAGTTTATTAAAATGTCTTTCTATGGCAGGAAAAAGTAGTTAACTTTAACAGTGAAACTGAACACTTACAAGCAAAGGCCAAAATATACAGTCAATTAATTGATCAAGTCTGAGTATATATAAAACTATGAAAAAGAAAGCAACAGTGACTTCAAATCCAGTGACAACAATGTATGGCTCTGGGGCTTGTGCGATGATAAAAAGGGTCATAGATGTCACAGTTAGCGCCTATAGGAAAAAAAACACATGATTTATTCAGTGATTATTGAATACAAGTTTAAGCTGTAAAAATGATCATTTCTAAAATAACGAAATAAATGGGTTTCTTCCATATACACACACATCTAAAAGAGGAAGACTAAAATGTATGGATGTTGACGTCTCTTTGTGTTTTAGAGAACTAGGTATCCCTCTCTGTTTTAAGTCTATTACTCCGCTTGTATACCTAATACCATCACTTCCCACATCTGTCCCCTTGATCTGTTTCCACTAAATATCTCCTTTTCCCTCTCATACCTTCAATCTCTCCTCCTCCACTAGTTCCTTTCCTCATCATCCTCTAAACATATCTAAGGTTATCTTCTCTTAAAACACACATACCTTCCTTTCACCCTGCTCCCCACAGAAATTCCCATTTTCTACTTCGCCCTGTAATGCTTCTCAAAAAAGTCTGTATACTGGCTGATATAATTCCTCATCATCCACTCATCACTCCTTAACTCTTAACAATCTGGAATCTGCTGTCAAATTTAAACTTAGAATGTTGCCATGAAAAATACTGGGGAGGAAAGTTGAAAAGAAATTGTCAGAGAAAAACAGTTCTCTAAAGAATCCTGTGAGGAAGAAAAGGAAAAAAAAAACAACCAACAGTTCTGATGCTTCACTTTTTAACACACTTCCTCTTATCTAAACATAATGCAATCAGAATTAACAAAAACTTAAGTGGAAAAAAAACCCTTGAAGATTATTAATCTAATCCAATTTCCTCATTTCCAAATGAAGATATAGAAAACAGAAATGAAAAGTGACTTAAAGGAAAAAATAAGCTGGGGGTCTGTCAATGTCATGATGTTCTTAGGAGATACAGCTCTATCCAAAGTCTCTGTGTTCTTGGAAAATGGTTTTGTCAAGAGTCTTCCCTGGCTAGACTTTTATGATCACTCTGTCAGCATCCACATTCTCTTTTTAACCTTAGATCTATATAGGCTACTTATTCATAATTCTTTCAATTACTTTATTAGTATAAAAGTAGCTTACCTTTAAACTTCTAAATTGGTCAGTTTGCTTACACAGTAAATATAACTAGTTATTAAATAACTCATTCTTTATAATTAATATAATTACGATCAGCAACATGTCATCTCAAATCACTTCATTTACTTTACTGAACCAGGGTCTTGAGTTCATGGGTTATGAAATCAAGGGTCACTTTTTCAGTCCCCATCTTCTGTAACCTTGGAATTTGGCACTGGTGATCAATCCATTTTCTTAACAGTTCCCATGATTTCAGTCACACTGGGTTCTCCCCTAATCCATACTAACAGCTCATATCTTTCCTAACTCCTGGCCTTTGTTTTCAGTTAGCTTTTAAATATTCCACTAATACCTCAAACATTTCTTCACCACTCTATGTAGACTGCTTTTGCCAAGATCATCAATGATTGCAAAATTATTAAATTTAACAAACATTTTTCAATCCTTATCCTACTAGACCCCCCTGACTTATTTGCCATTGGCTTTTTCCTACTTTTCTACTCCTTGGCTCCCATGTCACCTTTTCTAGTTCTTATACCTCTGAAACTATTCTCTCGGTGGGTTTCCTTTTGCCCATCTCTTTAAAATGATGGCATTCTTTTAGATTCTGTCCACAACCCACTCAACAAATCTGGGTCTCTGTCCCAGGTCTATCCTCAACATCTCACACATAAATAGCCATTTAGAATCTTTAATTCACCGTGTGCAAAACTGTCACCTTGCTCCTTCCTCCTGTATTCACTGTCTTAATTGGTGATATGACCATCTATCTTTTCACCTGCCCCTGGAAACCTAAGATCACTGCTCCAACTTACTCCTTACAACTGACCAATCATCGGGTCCTGCTGACTTAATGCTTAAGCATTTTGGGAATCCACTTTGTCCCTAAAACTACTGCCCTTCAGTATCTTTTCCTTGAATTACCATGACAAAGATATTACAGTAAAATTTCTAAAATAAAAATGTGTGCAATTCTTCACCTATTTAAAACCCTTCAATGGCTCCCCATGGTTTTTAGAATAGAGCCTACCTTCACCATGGTATTCAAAGTCTTCCATGACTCAGCTCCTGTCTACTTCTCTAACAAAGAGTTGTTCACAATTTATCCACAGGATAATTCCAATGCTCAATTCTCAGTCCTCATCTTACTTGAACTATCATCAGTATTTGACACAGTTGATCATTCCGTCGAGAAAGTTTTCATTTGGCTTCTAGGACACCATACTTTTAGTTTCTCCTACCTCCCTAATTGTGCTTTCTCATTCTTCTTTGCTGATTCCTCCTCCTCTCTCGACTCTCTCTCTCTTTTTTTTTAATTAATTAATTTATATTTTTGGCTGCGCACGGGCTTTCTCTAGTTATAGTGAGCGGGGGCTACTCTTCGTTTCGGTGTCCGGGCTTCTCATTGCGGTGGCTTCTCTTGTTGTGGAGCATGGGCTCTAGGCACGCGGGCTTCAGTAGTCATGGCACGTGGGCTCAGTAGTTGTGGCTCACGGGCTCTAGAGCGCAGGCTCAGTAGTTGTGGCGCACGGGCTTAGTTGCTCCGTGGCATGTGGGATCTTCCCGGACCAGGGCTCGAACCCGTGTCCCCTGCATTGGCAGGCGGATTCTTAACCACTGCGCCACCAGGGAAGTCCCTCCCCAATCTCTTAATGTCGAAGTGTTCTGGGGCTCCATCCATGGTCCTCTTCTCCACTCTATGTACACTCATCTCTTGATGATCTCATCAGTCTTGTGACTTTAAGTACTTCTATTTCTGCAGTGCCAATCTCTCTCCTAAAATCCAGTCTTGTATATTCCAAATGCCTGTTCAGTATTGCCACTTGAATGTCTAATAGACATCTCTAAAGTGAAATCCAAAATTGAACTTCTGATCCTCTGCCTACATTTACTTCACCCACAGGCTTTCAGTGGATGGCAACTCCATTCTTCCAGCTACTTAGGCCAAAAACTTTGGAGTGATGTTGGACTCCTCCCTCTCTCACACCACATCTGGTTCATCAGCAAATCTTGTTGGGCTTACTTTCAAAATATATCTGAAATGTGATCATTTCTTATAGCCTACTCCACTAACAGCCTGGTCTGAGCCGCTATCATCTCTTGCCCAGATTACTGCAATAGCCCCAACTCATCTCCTTTTTTTCTACCCTTGCCTCTGCAGGAATCCTCCTGTCCCCACCAGCCCCCACCTCCCAATCTATTGTCAACATATCAGCTGGTGTAGCTTTTAAAAATGTTAGTTAGATCATATACAACTTTACTCAAAACCTTCTTCATCTCCCACTGTGTCCCTATGTCAGTCCACTCCTGCTATACTGGTTTCCTTGCTTTTTCTTGAACCCTTCAGGTACATTCCTGCCATAGGGCCATTGTACTGGATTTTCCTTTGCCTAAAACACTCTTCCTTCAGATATTCATAGCTTAACTCCCTTATCTCACTCAACGCTTTGCTCAGAAGTCACCTCAACAAGGCCTAACTTGACCATTCTATTCCTGCAATCTTCCTCTCCAACCCTACCTTCCCTTACACTCTCTTACCTGGCTTTAGTTTTCTTTGTTCCACAGCACTTACCCCCTTCTAGAATATTACACCATTTATTTATTTATTTATTGTGTTTATTGTTTGTCTTCCCTGCCCTCCCACCCCAATATGTAAACTCCCTGTGGACAGGGATCTTTGCTTTGTCCCCTGATATCTCACAAGAGCCTGGAACAGTGCCTGGCACATGGCAGGCTTTCAATAAATATCTGTTGGCTGAAAAAAATAAGGCAAAACTCAACTTCTTATGGTTTGCTCATAAATCATGCTGGGTTTTTTTTTTTTTTTTGGTCTCCACGCCTTTGCTCAGGTGGCTGTCCCTTAAACCCTACCCAATGTCCCCCTAGGACGTTTCCTGACACCTCCTTGGTTAGATGCCTCACTCTGTGCTCTGACTTCATCCTGTCACACATCACAGCTATCTGCTTGTGTGCCTCTCTCTGACTAAACTGAAGGACTCCATAGTCAGGGACTTTTGTCTTGGGGGTTTTTGTTGTCTCAAGTCCTAACTCAGGGCTGGGAATACATTAAATATTCAGAGTTTTGTTGAGGGAATTAATATATCAAAAATGAAACCTTTCTGGAGACTGTAAAACCAGAAGTAGAGGAATGATAAATGTGTTTCGTTCACACTATAGAATACTTTGAAGCATATACAAATGATAATAAAGATTTATAATTATATTAAAAAAAATGGAACCTTTCTCACAAAATCCCATTTCTCCTCCAGTGTTCCAAAGCTTTCAGTACCTGGCATAAAACCCCAGACCCTCAGGTCACTTCTTTCCTGATTATTTACTTCCAACCCAAGCTAATCTCTCCGTTTTCTGAACTCCAGAGTAGTTTTCTAAACTTCTTTCATGCATTCTGACTTGCATTACGTCATAGTTATTTCTCAGAATCACAGACTTTGGTGTGAGAAGGACCTTGCATGCAGTTTGTTCTGCCCACTCACCTGAAGCTGAAATCGCCATCACAACATGCGAAGTGCTCACCTGCGCCTGCTACCTTTTCTGTCTGGGAATATACTGCCTTCCCAAGTGGCCACTTAATTTTGGCAAATTTCCCAATAAAAAAAATTCTTCCTCATAATAAGCAGGAATGTTTCCCTGTAACCTCTAACTTTCCACCTCCTCTCCTTATATGTCGCCTCTTTAAATTTTAAGAATTACTTTTTTCCTTCCCCTTTTCTCTTCTTGAATTCCTTCAACATATTCTCTTATGATAATTTCCACTTCTCTAACTAGCCAGGTCGCCTTCCTCCAAATGACGATTCATTCTCTCCCAACCTCTGCGAGAACTGGCTGCAATGCTCCTGGCATGTCTGACACCCCAGGAACCAGGAGTTCCACCGTCCTTGCTCTGGACTATATCAGCCTTGAGCTCACTCACATCAAAACTACTGAGTTCTAGCAAGTAAACACAGCATCCACTGAAACCCCTCGGTGCTTTTGTTTTTAATCTTGTTGGCATCTGAGTGGTACAACTGCAGCTGCCTCCCCTGGTAACCTGGGTACCTGGTTTGTGGGTCCAAGTGTGGGCCATTCATGTAGGTGTGCGGATTTTGCTTTATGAGTGAGTCCGTAAAGCCCCTGATGGGGGAGGACAGCGCCCTCTTTCTCTCCTCTTACCCTCAGGGTGCAGAGCGAAATGCCTTGCCTCTAGGAAGGCCTTGACAGAGGTTCAATAAGGTTGAAAGAGAGGACAGGGCATTGGCTTCATGCTTTGCAGCCCTACCTCCCTGCGGGGGAGCGCGCTGGGACACCGTCCCTCACCCCGAGGCCCCGCCCTCACCAGCCGCAGCATCTTCACGTGGCCTTTCACGCTGAAGCAGAAGAGGCGGTGCCTCGGTTTCAGCTTCACCGTCAGCATCTCGCCTAAAGACCCAGCAGCAGCACTTCTCCGTCAGTTCCCCTCCTCAGCGGATCGCTCTGCCAGGCCTCGCGCCACAGCTGCAACGGCCACGGTGGCCTCGAGCCGCTCTTTAAGGCGTCCCGCCTTCGCGGCGCGCATGCGCAGGTCACCTCGGCCCGCACTTGGGTACATGCGGCAGCCACCCTGACCCTGTCCGCCACCACCTACTGGTGGCCCCCGCTATGCGGAAAGCCAGGGTTCGCGCGCAGCGTTTCCTCAGACCTAGAGGGGAGCCGAGCAGGCCAGCTTCTCCCCACCCCCTAGTTGTCCAGTGGGAACGTTGGTTGTGCCTTTGTTAAAAGATAAATTGAGGCATATTAAAAATTTTAAGATTTTATTTGAACAAAAATGGATTAAAATCGGGTGGCATCTGAAGTTGAATCCGGCCTCTGTACCCTGCCACCGAATTAATCTCGGAGACAGAGTTTTGGGTGAAGTAGAAAAGTTTTATTGCTTTGCCAGGCAAAGGGGGCCACAGCTCGCTAATGCCCTCAAAACTGTGTGTCCCAACTTGGAGAGGTTAGTCAGAAGGTTTACAGTAATTGTTCAAAGAGGGCGTGATCAGCTCCTGGGCATTCTTCTGATTGGTTGGTGGTAAGTGGGAGTCAGCATCATCAACCTTCTGGTTCCAAGGTGTCTGGAGTCTGCGTGCTTGTGGGCAGCATACCGTCCTTAACCATTGACTTCTCCCATCTGATGGCGGTTTCAGTATCTGCAAAACAGCTCAAAGATACTGTCGTGTATATCGCTTGATGGGGAGCCCCATCGCTTGCCCCAAGTCTGCACTATTGTTTCTCTCTCCCTCTCTCTTTTTTTTTATTGTCTCTCTCTCTCTCTTTTTCTTTTATTGTTTCTCTTGACTGTTTGTTTCTCCTTTGTCTTGCATCCCCTCCCTTCCCTAATTAGCAGCTGCTTGAATATGCCAGATGGAATTTACGGAAGGTCATAGAGGCTGAATGAAGCCTATTTCCTGTAATCAAAGAGATGGGGCACATAGAAAGACTTTTGTGCCCAGGAGCCCCACAGGATCCTGCTAAGTATCACACCCAATCTAACATAGAAAGGAGCTCTGAAGAGCTGTACAAAATGAAAGACTTTTATAGGCAGAAGGGAGGGAGAACAAGGAAGTTGGTTATTGCAAGGTTACTTTTCTTTAGGGCATGGCAGGGGGTCTATCAGGCAGGTCACCTAACTAGTGCTGATCAGACGAAGCCTGATTGACTGGAGAGCCAAAAGTATAATTAAGCCTTGGTTTGGTGAGTGGGGCTTAGCATAAGCGACTCCATTTGGGGCCTGTTCTCGTTTTTTTTAAAAATAACTTCCTGAGGGATCTAATATATTTACAGTCTAGACCCTGGAAATGTCAAAGTTCAGAGGAAAGAGTGCTGGCTGTGAAGCAAGATAGATGAGCTTGAATTCCAGCTCCACCCCTTAATGAATGCTTCTGATCACTTTTTACGAGTTACCTAAGTTTCCAAGGATCAGCTAAGCCCGGAGAATGGGATTGACAATATCCACCTATACGGTTGTTGGGAAGAATAAATGACACCTTGCGTGCCAGGTGCCTGGATACAACAGATGCTCAATTAACTAATCTCCAATAGTTAATTAACCAATCAGTCATTGGTGTTATTGGCCACCCATGCCCCGAGTCTTGCCAAATCATGGGTTCATTCTAACAGCGTCTCGTTGGCGGGAAGATTTCCAGGCTGCAAAGGGCGAACCACTCACCTTCTCGGAGAGAGGGTGAAATGAGACGGGGTCTCTTTAAGAGCCGGCAGGGCGGGGCGGGCGCGGGGCTGGAGGCGGTGCGCGGAGGCGGGCCCAGTCGCTGGGCCGCGCTTTCGCCGACGTGCGCCGGAAGGAAGGTCAGGCCCGGTGGATTCGCCCGCGGGGCAATGCTGCTGCGGACGCTGCGGAGCTGGGCTTCCCGGGCGCTGCGCCGCGACAGGCCCGGGAGCCCCGCCTCCAGCCCGGGGTTGCCAAGGGCGCAGCGTTGGGCCTGGCCTCGGGGTAACGCGTCTCTCAGTTCCCTTTGCTGGCGTCCCGGAGGCGGCCCTCAGCCCCACTCCGCGCCCTCAGCTCGCGGAACCTGCCTGAACCCGAAACCCCTTCTCCGAGGCGCCGGGATTTCCTCGGTCGGCCTGGGGGGAGGGGCGGGGCGGTCGCTGGCTGGTGTCCCAGACGCCAGCCGGCAGGGAGCGGGTGGGGCCTTGGGGCTCCGGGCCCAACCCTTGTTCGGAGCTGGGGAGCCCTCTAAAGAGCGGAAACAACCCCCCTCCCCCAAGGTTCCTGGGCCCATTCTTTGGGCCTTGGGGGAGATGCCGGCGAGAGGTGGATGGGTTAGGCTCGGTGCGCTGTTTCTCCCGCTGGGAGTGGAGACCCTCCCCTTCAGAAGTGAGAGCCCCTGTTGTGGCCAAGTTCTGGCGTTCTTTGGCCTCGGGGTGTTCAGTGGCACCTGAGAACCCCTGTGGGGTGGGTGGGCCGCGATGTCAGCCCCGGGTCTGCAGGAGAAGCCTGAGTCCTGTGCTGAAACCCAGCACTGGGTTTCAGTGGCCCACCCGCCAACCACTCTTTCCCCGGAGCTACGAGTGGAGGTAACTCTACGTTTTAACTAGCTGGACACCCATCAGTGAGGATCATAAATATAAAATGTGTGGAAAATGGAAAGCAGAATATACTAAGTGACCAAAACTGAGCACAGTTGGGGTCCTGACGTGCCAACAGGACCCCGGCGGCAGTTTCAGTGTCACACAGGTAGATAGCAGTGGTAGGCCTGCCTCCGTCCACCTAGGGAGGGTCCCAGGTGTCACTGGAAAACATTTTTAGGCCAGGGAGCAAGCATAAAAATTACTGTTTTTGTCGTGGTTTAGAAAATTAGGACAAAGAAGAGTAAGCTATTTTTAAAATGTTTTTAAAAATTTATTTATTTATTTATTTTTGGCTGTGTTGGGTCTTCGTTTCTGTGCGAGGGCTTTCCCTGGTTGTGGCAAGTGGGGGCCACTCTTCATCGCGGTGCGCGGGCCTCTCACTGTCGCAGGCTCTCGTTGCGGAGCACAAGCTCCAGACGCGCGGGCTCAGTAGTTGTGGCTCACGGGCCTAGTTGCTCCGCGGCATGTGGGATCCTCCCAGACCAGGGCTCAAACCTGTGTTCCCTGCATTGGCAGGCAGATTCTCAACTACTACGCCACCAGGGAAGCCCAAGAGTGAGCTATTTAAAACTAAGTTAAAAAATTCATTTCCTTTCTTTTCTAGATAAAGGTAGAGAAAATGAAAAAGAGAAAAAATCAGTGGTAAGTCTCCCTCTTATGTGCACTCTTTCCAGTGTAGGATTATATATGTGTAATAAACACACATGCATAATACACACATGTTTTGAGGAGGGGAGTGAAGTTTTTTTAAACTATGTGCACATAGTTAAAAAAACGAATACAAGAGGATCTCCAGGGATAAGGAAGTCTGTCTCCACTCCTGGGCTCCAGACTCCCTCCCCAGAGACCACCTCTGTTACTAGTTTCTGGTATGTCCTACCTGAGAATCTACACAGGTGGGAGAATACATGTATTCATAGCCTTTAGGTGGATTTGGGCTATTAGCTTGATGAATGATTACAAAGAGATTTGAAAAGTGGAAGTTTAGTTTGACTGGGTTAGTGGGTGGCAGCCTGGCTGTGAGGGCAGGTCTGCTGACCGCTGCCCCCAGAATACCAGTGCTGAGACTGGTGGGTGGGGGAGGGATAACAGAGAATTCATGGGGGTCCACAGACAAGGGTTCCACCAGTGCAGTGACTTGGAGGTGCTAGCTCTGGGGTGGGACTGTGGCTGGTGTGAGGTTGAAGGTCAAAGGAGGGTCAAACTGGACATGCCCATGGGATGTTTAAGACTTTAGCAGGCTGCGGTGGGGAGCAGTATTTCGGTCACCGTTGATCCAGAGGCTCAGTTCCTTAAGGGAGCTGGAAGTTGGTAGATATGGCTGGAAAGGGATTTGCTTGGAGGGTGTGGGCAGGAGTACCTTGGCTGGGATATGCAGAAAGTGGAAGGTGTGGGGAGGCCCCCTGGGGTATTTGGGGTGATGGAGAGGGCCTGGGAAGGAGTGAAGTCACACGGAGAGAACTGGTGATGAAAATGCTTGAGATTTATGGAAGTTTGTTGAAACTAGAGGTGGGATGGGGTATGGCATAGGCATCATAGCAGGGGGAAGGGGTTGGTAAGTTGAGCTGGATGGGAATTGATGCAGTATTGTACTATTAATTATTGAGCCAGCATTCTTGTGAGCCGGGTCTGTCCTAGGTGCTTTCTGGGTGTGATCTGTTATACCCCAGACACACAGTAGGTGGTCCATGGGAAGTGATGTGGAGCCTGCGTTCAGGCCCAGGGCTGCTCTTAGTCATTCAAATCCTCTGAGTTCCTGTGTGGACCTGGGGACCTGGGAATCCAACAGCCCCTGTTGTCAGTGAGCCTGTGGTTGGATGGGGGGGATGGCAGTGAATAGGACAATGGTGGATCTGGAACAACAGGGAGTAGGCAGGGCTTCTAGAGGATGATGACTGAGGGGAGACTTGAGGCCTCCTGGGAGAAGGAGGAGAGGGCGAAGCAGGAGTGTTGGAGCAGAGGGAACTGTAGGGGTAAGTCACAGAGGGATGAGAGACTGAGGCTTGTGGCCAGTCCCAGAGAGGTGGCTGGGGAGGGCCTGGGGGTCGGGAAACAGGATCGGAGACAGATCCCAGCTCTCGGAGCCACTGAAAGACTTCACCAGCTGTGATCTGGTTTGCGTCTCAGGAAGAGGTGGTGGACCATGGATAGGGGATGAGGGACCTGGCTGGGCTGGACTGGAGGGGGAGAGGCCAGCAGGGAGGCTGCTCCCACAAGGAGGGTTAGAGACCTTAACTAGGGGCCAAGGAGACAGGCCAGGTTCTGCAGGTGAGTAGGAAGTGGGGCCCAGAGGTATTGCTGAGTTGCTGGGTGAGGAGAGAAGATATCCAGGGCCTTGAGGGTGTCTGGGTGGATGGTGCAGCCTTTCCTGAGGACAGGAACGGGAAGAGAAGCCATATGTGGGTGTTGGGGGGTGATAAATTGAGGTGCCCATGGGACATCCCATGGGATTGGACAGGACAGGGAATATCTGGGCTGAGCTGCAGCTGCGAAGTGAGTCACCACCACAGAATTACAAAATAAACTCCAAAGTCGGGTTAAAAAGAAATGACTAATGTTTTCAGGTGAACAGAGTCTGAACAGACATTTCCTGAGTGAATTTATTAATGGCTAATAAACATAAGAAAGTGCTCAACCTCCCTAACAGAGAAAGAATGCTTTGGGAGATGGAGTGATGAAAGCTGTGGATCAGACCTCAGACCTGGTTCCAGTCCCAGCTCTGCTCTTCAGTGGAGGTGGATAAGTCCTTCACCTCTTAGAGCCTCAGTTTCCCCATCTGTGCAAATATTCATAGCTGTGATTGTTGTGAGGATCAATGTGACAATGTTTGCAAAGTACAGAACCCACAGGGGCTAATTTTATAGACATTATTATTATTAACAATGAAATTAATGAAGATTTAGGATGGGATATGCCCAGCATTGGCACAGTATGTTAATAGGCTCACTCTTCATCCTTCTAAAAGGGGTGTGAATTGGGTCAGCATTTTAGAGGGTAATTTGGCATCATGCATCAACAGCTGTAAAAACTCACTTATCCTTTGATGCACTGATTATATTTCTAGAAGTCTATTGAAGGGGATAATCAGAGCCAATGACAAGGATTTATGTACAGGAATGTTTACCACAGCACAGCTTATCATATCAAAAAAATGGGTGTCACAACACAGTTTTATAATAAAAGTAACTGGACAGAATGTAACATCCAACAGTAGGGATTTCAATAACATGTTCCTTGCAATGAACAGGAAAGAAACAGTCTGTGCAGAATGATGTCTAGGTTGAGCTCTTTTTAAATATCTAGGAAAAGTTGTTTCCTTTAAAGAACAACAATAAAAATAAAATCCACTGGTGCCCTGACGGGGTCTCCCTTTTGCACATTCACTGTGTTTTCTTGTGCTGAAGGAGTAAGCTGACAGGGAGCCCGGATTGGAGGGCCAGGCCTCTGTTGGAACTGCAGTTGTCCGTCCAGCTCTCCTAGGTAGCCGTTAGGATCAAGGCAGGAGGAAATCTTTGCAGCCAACTGAGAGAGAGTCCAGTTGCTGGCGAGAGTTTGTAGAGGTGGGGCAAGGTGAGACAGCCCACCGTGCCCCTGTGCTTTATGCAGGGTGTGACTGAGCCTCCACTGGGGTCATGAGAAGGGAGTTGCCAGGCCTAGGTGTGAATTCTAGCTTTTTCCCCCGCCAACCCTGGCACCTAGGGCAAGTCACTTAAGTGGCCCACGTTTCTCTGTGGGTGCTTCCAACCTGGGTGTAAAGGTCACTGTGCAGCAGGACAGGTCCCCTCTGGCTGTGTGTACCCCAGGGGACATGTAATATGTGTTGTCAAGGGCAAGTTTGTCTTCTCACATATGTGGAACTGCCCATTTCCTCTCGTGGTCTGATGGAACCAAAGCCATTTGGCCCGTGTCACCAGCAGTCCTGGCTGAGCAGCGTTTTGTCAGAATTGCTGGACAGCAGATTCAAGGGTCCCAACCCAGAGTCTGATTGAGAGGGTCTGGGTGCTCTGCTGGTGCTTCTGGAGCAGGGTGTCTGTGGACCACTCGTTGAGAAACCCTGCCATGGGTCCGTGGTACTCAGCTTCCTCCATGTTGAAATCACCTGGAGAGCTTTCCAAGGTACTGAGGCCTGAGTCCCACCCTGAGATCATGCCAGAATTGGCCTGGGTTGTGGCTTCCTTTTGTGGATTCTTAAAGGTTCCCAGGTGATTCTAGCACATACGTAAGACTGAGAACCACAGCTTCAGTTGCTTTCTTTCCCTGCAGTGGGGTACTTGTAGGAGGCTCCTTGTCTTTCTTATGGGTAGACTCCTCCCACCAGTGCCAAGACAACCCCTTCCCCCCAGTACACTTAGTGTGAGCAGAGTGAACGTTCAAGCTCTACTCCTTGCCTTATGCCCTTCTAGAGCCTCATTTTTCTCTTCTGTGAAAATGTTAGAACCCGCTTCTCAGGTCCTGGCAAGGTTAAGTGCAGGATTGGTGTATGTTGCCCATCTTAGTCCTTTTCTCCTGTCCTCATACCTTCCAGTCCACGGCCAAGCATGTTTTTCTGCACAGAGCAATGCATTAGGTTCTAGGTAACGTACACACGCTTCCCATCCTTAAACCCATTAGGTTCTGGTGAAGGAGGCAGGACATTTAGGCCTAAAATCTAATAGACTGAGGAGTTGAGCTAGGGAAGGGCAGAGCTAGCGCGGCCGAGGGCAAGCTGTGTGGGATCTAGGGGTTGACCTAAGGGAGTGTCTGTCCCGGAGGGCAGTGGCCTGGTGGCTAGCAGCGGTGGGCCTGGAGCCTGCCACTGAGGGGAAGGATCAGGTGGTTGCTATTACTAACAGGACCTTGGGGGTTTCCTCCAGAGGGATTTTCGTGTACACACTGGAGTCTTGGGCTGAACCAATTATGCTGTTCACCTGAGCCCTTCCCTAGAAATTCTTCCTGGTATTCCCCCAGGCACTCGATTTCTGATCCTAACATGTGTTTGTCTTTTGCTAGATATGTGTCGAGGGCAATATTGCAAGCGGGAAGACGACGTGCCTGGAGTTCTTCTCCAACACAACGGACATCGAGGTACAGCTTCCATGCCAGGTTTGAAGGAACCTGCAAAAGCTTGGTGCATTTATAAAGGGTGCAGACCGGACCTATAGAAATGTTGCTGGGGGAACGCGTCCTGTGTGAGAGGAGGGAGAGGCCCCTTGGAAGCTTGTGCCTGGTTTTCCCCCAGATTTTGCTCCACACACCCTTCTCCTTGGCTGATTCTGCTTTGTCACCTCTCACTGTAATAAATCTTAGCTATGAGTATGACTATATGCTGTATCCTGTGAGTCCTCCTAGTGACTCCTCAGACCCGGGGAGGCGGGCGTCTGGGGGACTCCCGACACACCTGTCCTGAGCTGTGTAACTCTCGCTGACGCTTTAGAAGCACGTGTATTCTCACTGAACACCTTGGAGCCAATGTACAACAACAATACCGTCAGCAAGGAGAGTGAACAGCTAATGAGGGTAATACTCTATGCCAGGCACTGTGTTGAGGCGTCGTTACATTATCTAATTGATTTCATTCTTACAGGAGTAGTCGCTATGAGACAGGTCCTGTTACTACTTCAGTTGCAGAGGAGGAAACTGAGGCTCAGTGAGGTGACATGGCTTGGCCAGTGTCGCATGGCTAGTGCATGTGATGCCATGTCCCAGCCCAGGCTGTCTGCTCCAGGGGCCATGCCCTTGTTTGGCTCTATAGTATGCAGAGCTTTTTTGGCTTTAGGAAAACCACCCAGCCTTCAGATCTCAGCTCTGCTCTCTGACCTCCCCAGCTAGGTTACCCTCCATGGTGTAGGTTCTTCTGGCTCCTCTGTATCCTTTTTGTTTTGTTTATTGTTTTTTGTGTTTTTTTTGTGGTACGCGGGCCTCTCACTGTTGTGGCCTCTCCCATTGCGGAGCACAGGCTCCGGACGCGCAGGCTCAGCGGCCATGGCTCACAGGCCTAGCCGCTCCGCAGCATGTGGGATCTTCCCGGACCGGGGCACAAACCCGTGTCCCCTGCATCGGCAGGTGGACTCTCAACCACTGCGCCACCAGGGAAGCCCTGTATCCTTATTTTGTACTACTTCTCGGGGTTTGAAAATATATGTTGCTTTCTGTGATGACCTGATTAATGTCTGCTTCCCCAGTAAGTTTAAAGTTGAAAGCATGAAAGCAGGGCTGGGGTGGTTTTTCTCTTGCTGAATCCTTGGCACCTGGCACAGTGGGTGCTCAGTATTTGTTGAGTGACAGTGCCACAGATGGGGCACAGGTCAAGGCTGCCTGTGTCCCAGCCTGTGGTGGGCCTGAGTGGTACAGCATATGCTACTCAGGGGACAGGACCAGAGTGCTGAAGACCCAGAAGAAGGAGAGGGAGGTTGGGAGGAACAGGGAATGATTCACAGAGGAAGGGATATTTGAACTGGATTCTGAAGGATGTATAGGAGTTTTCCATGTAATGAAAGTTGAGGTGAAATGAGGTGAGGTGGGCATACTGGGCAGAACAACAGCATGAGCAAAGGCACAGAGGGGTAAAAGGTTGGGGGAGGTTACTCTTCAAGGGTCCCATGCATTGCTTTCTTTTGGTCTCTTGTGACCTGTGGCACCTACTCACATGGACTTGAAGGTCCACAGAGGGATCCGAATATTCTCAAAATCTTGGCCCTAAGAGCACCATTTACTTATTTATTTATTTTGGCTATGCAGGGTCTTAGTTGCGTCAGGCGGACTTCTTAGTTGCGGCATGCATGCGGGATCTAGTTCCCCCACGAGGGATCGATCCCGGACCCACTGCATTGTGAGCACAGAGTCTTACCCACTGGACCACCAGGGAAGCCCCAAGGGCACCATTTAAATCCTTTCCGGCACACACCTGCACAGCTTAGGGAGGCTACTAAAGAAACAGGACTCTTTGCCGTCAGTGTGCCCAACACAGAGATCAGAGGGAGGAAAGGGAGGCAGAGCACGCTGCCATGGTCGCTGGAGAGCCTCCAGGCCGGAAGCTGGGTGCAAGCTGCAGCCTGAAGTGCAAGAAGCAGCCTCCCTCTTGGCTTCTCTCACCTCCCTGCCTTCCTGATGTGGTGGGCAGTAAGGGGCAGGGTGGAACACGTGGAGGGGGGATTGGGAGAACCCACTTGCCCCCGGGAGCTCCTGTGGCAGCAGAAGTGGCGTGTGCATATGCTCGTATACAGGGGTGGGCAGAGTGGTTCTCAAGTCATTTCTCGAAGCTGCGCCTGGAGCCACGTCTGCATGGAGTTGTGGCCTCGCAGGGAGGGTTGCTCCACTATTTTGGCCCACCCTGGGCGCCCAACTCTTGACTCTCTCCCCGATCCCACCCCTAACACGAGCCTTCACAGAGCTCAGAACTGAGGAGCAGCAGCTCTCTGATGTTTTCTTTCCTGACAGGTGTTAACGGAGCCCGTGCCCAAGTGGAGAAATGTCCGAGGCCATAATCCTCTGGTGAGTGTGTTGTTCTATGCGTGAACCGCCAGCTGCCCCTTAAGTGTGCAGGAGCAGCGCTGCTGGTGCCTGAGCCTGCACCCTGTCCAGACGTGTCCTTGCTCTTCGCTGGGTGGTGGGGGAGAGGGAGGGGACAAAGGGAAAATGGCGGCATGTCGATGGTCTGAGGTCAAGGTTCTTTGAGGCCTGGCTGGGCATGTAAGGAGCCCAGGGACCTCCTGTCAGCTATCCCAAACTATCCCAAGTGGTCGGCCCCAGCTACCAGGGGGTCCTTCTCCTGCTGCTCATTCTTACCCCACCCTCTCCTAGAAGAAACCCAGGTCTCCTCAGGCCTAGCCCCCCAGGACCTGTGCCTAAGTAACTAGCTTCCTTGGTAAACCTCTGATTGGGGTTTGCACTTACCAATGCCCAGGGGCTGCCTCAGGCTCACCCTGAAGCTACCCGTCTGCTTTCCCAAGGGTGGACCTAGCAAGTAGGGGCTGTAATGTGCCTGTGCCCCTCCCACCTCCTTCCTGTTCAGAAGGCTCAACTCTGGCTGCTTGAAAGAGGTGGGTGGAGTCTGGGTCCTGTAAGAGTGAGCTCAAGAAAGGGATGCTGGTTCTGGGCTCCTGTCCCATGATGGAGGAACGATTAGTTTCGTTTTTCAGGTAAGGAAACCATGGCTGAAATAGGTTGCCCAAGGTCACACAGCTGGTAAATAACAGATCTAGGTTTGAACCTTGGACTAGGGGGAGCCTGTGCTGTCCCGTCATTTCTAGCAACACAAATGGCATCTCCTTGTGTGGTTCTTTAGACTCTGAGTTCCGCTAAGGGCAGGGACTGTGTCTAATTTGGCTCACCGTTGTTTGCTAGAACATAGCACAGTGCTGAGCACTTAGTAGGTGCTTGTTCACTGATTGATTCAGCCAGTGTTCATTGCATGCCTGCCATGTGCCAGACACTATTCTAGACGCTGGGGCAGTGAGCACCTCGAAGCTTCTGCTCTGCTGGCCCTAATATCCCAGTGTGGGGAGGCAGAAGGCAATTAAAAAGTGTGTGATACGGCGGGTGGTGACAGGAGCCAAGAAGGCATCTAAAGCAGGTAAAAGGATATTATTTAAATAAGGCAAAACCTCTCAGAGCTTTTGAATAAAGAATCCCAGAGACAGGAAAAGAGTTTCACCTCTCAGCAAGGGGGAGAAGATGGAATGCCAGTCGTGGGCATACAAGGAAGCTCAGAAACATTCCTGTCTTCTAGGAAACTGGGAGGAACCAGGGCTGGATCGTTATGTAAGACAACTAGAGTTGCAGACGTTAGGGGTTAGAGGTGACATTCACAGGACCCAGTCCCAGTCTCAGAAGTCTGAGTATCCGTGGCACAAAGAGCATTGCCAATGACAGTTTTATAATTAAAAAAACAATAGAATTAGATATTTTTACACAAGTTTCCACTCTAGACAGAGGAGCAAGATTGATAGTTTTGTGAAAAGTCTCAGGTCATCACTTTATCTGAATCGGTTTTCTGATGCAGAAGGGTCTTTTCCTCTGCGGCTGTCAGGCAAGAGGGAGTGTTTCTCCTAACTTTTCTGAGATTCTTTCACCCGCAGTGAGGAGTTAGCAGTTTTCAATGCAGAGCACCGGAGTTTCATTAGTTAGCACCAAGAGAAAAAGAAGCAAAAATGTGGAAAAGGGCAGAATAGGATTTTTTTTTTTTTTTCCGGTACGCGGGCCTCTCACTGCTGTGCCCTCTCCCATTGCAGAGCACAGGCTCTGGATGCGCAGGCTTAGTGGCCACAGCTCACGGGCCCAGCGCTCCGCAGCATGTGGGATCTTCCCGGACCGGGGCACGAACCCGTGTCCCCTGCATCGGCAGGCGGACTCTCAGCCACCAGGGAAGCTCCAGAATAGGATTATTAGCAAGTGGAACATGGAGCAGGAAGTATTTTGTATCTACACGCAGTAGAGAGTGATTGAGGGGGTGGATTCTGTTTTAGAGAGGATGGTTGGGAAGGCATCTCTGACAAAGTGACATTTGAGCAGAAACCTAAACAAAGCTTGGGAGGGAGCAGTGCAGGTATCTGGGGGAGAGTGTCCAGACAGAAGGCACAGCAGATGCAAAGGCCCTGAGTTGAAATCACACTTGGGTGTTTGGGTAACAGTAAGGAAGCTCATGTGGTTGGAAGCTCACAGAGCCAAAGGAAGAATGGTTGGAGACAAGAGAAGATGGAAGTGATTGTCTAGGGCCCTGTGGGCCTTGGTAAGGGCTTTGGATTTCATTGTGAATGAAGTGGGAAGCCAGGGAGAGTCCTGAACAGGGGAGTGATGATAACTGGCTCCTGTAGTATAACAGGCTCACTGGTTGCCGGATAGAGAGCAGGCTGTAGGGGCTCAGTGAACATGACTGAATGCCTGAATGAATGCTCCCTGGGACTTTATATAGGTTTCTACTATAGCTGTTCCCAGGCTGTCCTGTAACTGCTCCAGTGTCTGTCTCTTTCCACTCTGTGACCGGGCTGGGAGTCCTACAGATAGAGCACTGCATTCTCCCCTCTTTAGGGTCTGATGTACCGGGACGCCTGTCGATGGGGCCTCACGCTGCAGACATATGTGCAGCTCACCATGCTGGACCAGCACACTCGTCCTCAGGTACATTTCAGATACTTGGTTTCAACCTTCTTTTTTTTTTTTTTTTGTGGTACGCGGGCCTCTCACTGTTGTGGCCTCTTCTGTTGCGGAGCTCAGGCTCCGGAAGCGCAGGCTCAGCGGCCATGGCTCACGGGCCCAGCTGCTCCGCGGCATGTGGGATCTTCCCGGACCGGGGCATGAACCCATGTCCCCTGCATCGGCAGGTGGACTCTCAACCACTGCGCCACCAGGGAAGCCCATGGTTTCAACCTTCTTAAACACAGTTTTCTTCAAATGAGTGGCATGTGGTTGCCAGGAAGGGAAACCTCACAAGGAAGCCCCACTGGGCCTTCAGAGCTGCTCAGCCTTCTCTGTCTCTGGAGTGAAGGTCTCTGTTCCTACAGCTCTCTGAGGACCAGGCTCCAGTGCCCCCACCCACCAACCTCAGCTAGCCAAGAACTTGCTATGATGCCATGTAAGCCCGAGTCTTCATGACCCGATCGCTCCTGGGCTCAACTCCCTTTAACTCAGCTCTTCTCAAAGTGTGGTGCCTGTAGTAGGAGCAGCGGCAGCACCTGGAAACTTGTTAGAAATGCACGTTTTCTGGCCCCATCCTGGACCTGCTGAATCAGAAATTCTGAGGTGAGGCCCAGCAGTCTGGGTTTTATCAAGCTCTCCAGGTGATTTTAACACATCCCTCATTTGTTTGCAAATTTGTTTGCATGAGAGCTGCTGATCTAACCTTCACAAGGCTTGTTCACATTCTCAGTTCAGGTTCTTGAGAGAAAGAATCTGATTGGCTCAGCTTGGGTCAGGTGTCCAGCCCTGGTCCAGTCAGGTATTGGAGCAGGTCACAAGCACAGCCACTTAGGCCCCTTCCATCAGCAGGGTGTGAATAGGGGCAGAGTCTCTTAGAAGAAAGGCTGACTGAGAGATCTGATTGGCACCCGTGGTTCAGAATGGCAAGTACCACCTAAGAGACTGGCTTTGGAGGCTCTCCTTGAAGGAGACAGGAGATCCATCGGCCAGTTTCTCTGACACAGCCATTCAGTGGTTTGATGCAAGGCTGGGCACTTGCAACCATAGATATCATTCTTCTACAAATCTGTGTCTTTTAATAATAGAAAAAGATATGAGCAGAACCATATGAATTTCTATCTCCCCAAAAATCTGTCTAAAAGATACATGTCAGAGTATGGTCTGAGGTTGGCATGCACCCTACTTCTCCTGAGTGGGCACTTGATTGCAAATGTAAATTGTATCTAGTATATCTGAATATAACGGGCTGTATGTGTGTTCCTCTGTTTAAGGAAATCTGTCAGGAAGGAGGCAGAGAAAGAGAGATGGACAGACTAGGAAAGAGGAGGAGGAGGAGAGAGGGATAAATGGGGAACTAGCAAAAGATGGACAGCAGAGAGTCATAAGTAAGGAGAGGACTGAAAAATAGAAAAGAAGGCAGATGGACAGATAGACAAATAGGAGAGTCAGGAAATTCCTGGGTTATGGCTTTAAATCAGCCTCTGATTTGCTGGTCCAGGTCCCATTGGGTGCTGTGGGCCAGGCTGAGTGAGAGCAGTGTTTGCCCACTTGGTGTCAAGAGTAAGAGCACCTCCAGCTTCCCAATGGGACACTGGACAAAGGGAAAGGCCTTCTGTGGAGGGTGTGTGCATGCTGGCAGAGAGGGGCCACGTCAGTGTCGTCCTCCCTCTTCCTGGGCACAGTTCTTTCCAGTTTTGAAGGGCTGCAGTGATCCCCAGCCAGCCCTGTGAGGAGGCGGTGAAGTTGGCAGGCATGCTGGTGGGGCTCCATAAAGCCACAGCCCAGCTCTCTCGGAGCTGTGCCTCTGCTTAAGCAAATGCATCCTATTTAGGTCCCTGATAATCACCACACTTTGTGCTTGCCACCACTTTCCCGGGGGGCACTTGGCAGTTTTTCTAGCACTTCCCCAAACTCACAGTCCATTGGAGCCTCACCCCTCCTGTGAAGGAGGCTGCTGCTGACAGGCCCTCCGCCCGGCCTTGCTGCACTGACCTGAGCTTCAGGGTATGGTATGGGGAGGGTTCAGGGCCCAGGGAGCCTAACGTGGGACACACGGTTCTCTGGTGTCCACCTCCCTCTCCTGAGGCTTCTCAATTCTTGTATTCAGCATAGACCATAGGCAGGGGGAGCAACAGGCATTCTTCAAGGCTTCCTGACCCCTTCCTGTTTGCCTGAGTTAGTGAATCACTTTTTGTTTTCTTGTAGACATTGCCTGTACGGTTGATGGAACGGTCGATTCACAGCGCAAGATACGTTTTTGTAGAAAACTTGTATAGAAGGTACCGTAGTTTGCACAATCGATAATTTATTAAACCATTAAATTTTTAGAAATGAAACTTATTTATCTAATTGACACATACTGAGTACCTACTGTGTTGCCACAGTAACACTGTGTAACAACCAACCATAAAGCCTCAGTGACAGACAGCTCTCCGTGCTGATGGCTCGGCTGTCCAGGGCGGTCGGCCCGGCGGCTCTGCTGACCTTGGCTGGCTCAATGATATGTCCAGGGGTTGGCTGGTCTAGGGTGGCCCGGTGAGGGTGACGGGGGTGACTCATCTCTCATCTGCTTGCTGATCCTCCTCCTGGGACCGGCAAGCTGGCCTGGGCATTCACATCTCATGGCTGTGGCAGATCAAAAGCACCGTAGTTCTTTTTCAGGTCTCTGCTTCACGTTCGCTAACATCCATTGGCCAAAGCAGGTCACACCGGCCCACCCCAGTCTGAGAGGGGCAGGGCCCTGTGGGTTACATGGCAAGGTGGGAGGAGACAGGGAGGGGTGAAGATGCAGAGCGACTAGAGCAGTCAGTCCAGCAGCGTGCATATTTGTTGTGATGTCACTGACAGCTGTCTTCTGCCCTCACGGGAGCGGACTCTGTCACACAGACCTGGCTGGGGGGCTTCTGGTGGCCCTCAGTGCTGTGGTCTCAGAGCTGTGGGGTCCTCCACTCCTGCGCTCAGTTGACTGCCGATGTTTGGGGGTCTTGCGGAATGGGCTGCAGCTTCTTCTCTGCGTCTCCCTTCTTGGTAGCTTTGAGCCTCACTCCCTCACAGAGCTGGTCCTGATATCTGCCTTCCACTCTCTACACCTTGGCTCCCTGTTCCCTCCCATCTGCAGCTGTGGTCCCAGCCGCCCTGTCTAGGTGGGTTGAGCCTCTCATTCTTTTTTTTCTTTTCTTTTCTGTATTTATTTTTGGCTGCGTTGGGTCTTCGCTGCTGTGCGTGGACTTTCTCTAGTTGTGGCGAGCGGGGGCTACTCTTAGTTGCGGTGCGTGGGCTTCTCATTGCGGTGGCTTCTCTTTGTTTTGGAGCACCGGCTCTAGGGCGCACAGGCTTTAGTAGTTGTGGCTCGCGGGCTCTAGAACTCAGGCTCAGTAGTTGTGGCACACGGGCTTAGTTGCTCTGTGGCACGTGGGATCTTCCCGGACCAGGGCTCAAACCCACGTCCCCTGCCTTGGCAGGTGGATTCTTAACCACTGCACCACCGGGGAAGCCCCTCTTGTTATTCTTAATTACTTCTTTCTGTTGGTTTTCTTCATGGTATTCAAGACAACTTCTAATTAGGTTGAACCACATGAAATTATTAACACTTGACGAATTTTGACCCACAAAAATGGCAGTTTTGGGCTTCCCAAAGAGGGGGCCCAGGGGGGCCAGGCCATCCGCCACTTTGGTTTCAGGGAGATGAGAGAAGGCAGTGCTCCTCAAACCCTTTCCCTGAAGTCTCCAAAAGCAGAGAAACGCTCACCCAGGCGGCCGCTTCCCTGCAGGTTTTCCCAGCCTGCGTACCCGAAGCAGCCGGCTAACTAACTGGAAATTTCTTTGAAGACTTCGCTTCGAAGTCTTTGCTTTCTATCCCCTAACATATCCCTGTGGTTGTAACAACTGGTGCGCTCAGCACGTGGCTGGGAGTCCCCCTCACTCAGCCACGCTCCCCAGAGAGCCTGAGTTTGGGCGGCAGAGATCCACGGGCAGGGACACCAAGAGGCACCTTCCCAGTGCAGGCCATTCACTTGTGGGACTGGTCCAGCTTACCTGAGAGTAGGCACGGCTCGTGTGGTTGAGGGGCAGGGCAGGGACCCGTGGGCAGGAGCTACAGTTATTGTCCTTCCGTTTGAACCCTCCAGGCAGCACTGAGATGGGCACTGTTGACCGTGTTTGGCAGATCAGGAACCACGTGGGGTTTGAAGGCCTTGCTCCTTCTTGGTTGGGCAGGAAACTGACCGGGGGGCTGACCTGCACTCTGCTCTGTGGGGCAGCAGTGAAGGAGGAAGTGGTGAGACATCTAGATTTCTCTCTGTAAGGCCAGAGGCTTCAGGCCCAGGGGAGTCCCCAGTGTGCTGGCTCCGGGGGACCAGGCCTCTGCCCCTTTCCACCCAGGCCCTACACTCAGCTTCTCCCACAGACTCCGTGCATCTTGTTAATGCACCCATGCTGCTTCCAGGGTGGGGCCCGAGAGCCTGCATTTGTAGCAGAAAAGCACCCTGGGTAGCTATCATTCTGCTGGTTGGCGTCACACTTGGAGGGGCAGCCTCCGAAGAAGGCCGCAGCCAGGTGGCCCGCAAGGGGCCGTCTGTGCCAATCATGGTCCTTTCCCCTGGGAGTTTTGCCCCGTGGCTTCCTTGGGGCCTCACCTGGGCCTTAGGGGTCGTTGAAAGCAAGACCTGCGGGCTGTCTTTGTGGGGGTCAGTGGGGCAGGTGGCCGGCCAGAGTGCAAGTTCTTCGTGGAGCAGGATTTCCTCAGCTTCCTACACCACCTGCAGTTTCTTCATTTCACATTTGTGGCTTCAGATTTTGGTTGTTGGGGGTTTTGTTGTATTACCTTTGTTTTCAGGGTCTCTGGGTGTATTCCTAGGTCAGGAGTGAGGCAGCTGTAGGCCAAAGGTTTTCTTCTTGGAGGCACAGTAAACAGCATTTCTAGCCAGAGCTAAAGAAGTGACAGGTGGGAGGAAGGGTAGGATGTGGGCTTTCTTCTTGGTCACTTTCATTAGAAACCCAGCTTCTCTCCATGCAGTGGGCCTTCCACAGTGAAGTGGTGCTGCGAAAGTAGATGTTTCCATGCCCCCCAAATACAGATTACCATCATTTTGAGCCTAAACCAAATGACGCCTAGAACTGGGTTTGGCTGGATCCTTTGCTCATAGCCAGAATAGGATGTTTTGGTTCCCACCTGTGGAAGTTCAGCTGGGTACTGGGAACCACAAGACAGCTTGTGTGGGGTGTCAGCTCTTGCCTGGGAGCTTGTGTAGGGACAGCCCTTACACAAGGCAGGGGGTGCATGGTTGCTGCCCCTTCAGCCTTGGGGTTGGTCCTTCTCTCTTTCACAGAAGCCCTTGCAGCCTTGGCTTGGAATCTGGAGGGACTGGGATGGAAGGAAGTACGGTAGGCGTGGCTTTGCTGTCTGCAGTTGCAGGCTCGGGTGCCCAGAAAAGCCCACATTCTGCAATTCTGCATCCCCCAAAGCCAGATTTCTGGAAGGGCTTTCTTGCCTTTTGGGCCTTGGACAAGTGAGGAGCTCCTCCAGGGAGAGACCCGCCTCTTCCGCCCGCATCCTCACCCCAGCGAGTTTGGGGTGGGCAGAACATACATGCAATTATGCCACCAGGGGTTAATTGCCAACAAGGAAGATTCTGGTTCCACAGTCTCCTTAAAGACTTAAAGAACCTGAAGGACTTCTGAGGTGTGGGCACTGTGCTGGAATGAACAGCTGAAGGTGGCGAGAAAGACTCAGGCAGCTAAAGCGGCCACGCAGGCCACTGTGTGGCCCGACCCTGTGGGCTAATTGAACACAAAGGTTTCACAGGATTGCCTGGTTGGTGTTTTCTAAGAACAGAAGGAAGGGAATTGCATGGGGCCCAGCTGGGGAAGTGACACACTGACTCACCTGGGGCTGCGGGTTGCGGACATCCATTAAGGCCCTGCGTTTGGAACAACAGGCGGATCCTTCTGCTGCCCTGATGGGCCCTGGGGCTTGGACTCCTCCTCACTCTAGGCCAGACTGGGGACTCACTGCCTGTGTCATGGGCCTGCGAGCGGTGGCTTTCCTCAGGCTGAGGCTAGAGAGACACTGGACGGGCCCAGGGGCAGCCCCCTCAGCTGACAGATGGGGCAGGTGGGGTTGAGGCATGTGGTGCAGCCAGGAGCGTATGGGTTTGGGGGCCGCCGAGAGCCAGGCTTCAGTCCCTGGCTCAGAGCTGGGCTGAGCTTCTCTGGGCCTCAGTTTTCCTCATCTATAACTTGGGGCTAAAATTGACCTCACAAGGTCTTGTGAGAAACAAAAGAATGTCATGTGTACAAGGAGGCTGGCATTTGAGTGTGTGATTTCAGTTTTAACCCATGCTCTCTGGGCCTCAGGGGGAAGGCGGCAGCAAACCGTGCCAAACAAAACAGTCAGCAGGATTCGTGTGGACTCATGACCTCAATTTTGCCCCTCTAGGATAAGGGGAAGGCACCATGAAACCCCCTCAGTCCACCGTTGGTGGGTCTGCAGAGAGGTGCTGCCCTCTGTGTGTTCTGTGGAAATAAAAGCAGTGCCTTGGTGGTGCTGCTGGGCGCCCCATTCTCGAGGCAGACAAAGGAGGAGCTGGGCAGATTCCTAGGAGGAAAACTGCAGATACAGATAAAACAGCGCCCGCTGCCTGACATGCCTCAGAATCATGGAAGGCAGCTTCCGTTTCCTCACTCCGCTCAGCCGGTGGCCAGTTGTCCTGGACCCCCCAGCACATGGCTCCTGGCAGTCTTGGAAGGGTTTTCTGGAGGTTTGCCTGCTGACCCTGCCCTCAGGGAGGCTGCCCCGGAGCCGTCTAGAGGACTTCTAAGGAGAGCATCGGGAAGGGAGGACCTGCTTCCTCCCAGGTTTGCCTGGGCCAGGTGAGAATGGGAGGTTCCTGAGCCACCCAGGAGGTGTCCTGAGACCACCTGGGGCCGATTTCCAGCAGAGCAGCGGCTCTCAGGCCCCAACACTTTTTGTGGTGTCAGTTGGTTTGGTTTTAGTTAACACTGTGCTACCTGTGTCCTGAATTGTGACTCAGTTCGGTGGCCACAGCTAAGGGTATCCTCCCAGCTCTGGGATTTGACAGAACCTCCCTTGAGCCTTACAGACACCGGTGAAGTCCTCAGGGGCAGTCTCACACCAACTGTCCAGCGTTCATGACGTGGGAGGCTGTTGGGCAACGTTCCCTCCATGTGTGCTGCTCACTGGCCCACACCCTTGAGTCGCCAGTCTGTGCTGTGTGCCCAGGCTGCGTGTTTGGTGGAGCGAGTGGGGCTGATCAGCAGCTTCTTTTTGGCAAATCCTCATTCCCTCGGAGTCAGCTTTGTTCCAGAGAAGGAAAGCATGTTGAGAAGAGTGGTTTGGTGTCTGCATATCAAATGCGCTGAGCTGCAGCCCAGCTCAAAGCAGCCTCCACACTGAGGTTGCCACGGGCTGCCTTAACAGCAGGCTTTGGGGCTGGTTTCATTCGGTGGCCCTAGTGCTGTTTCTCTCTGTTTTCCTACTGTCTTGTTTGTGTCCTCAATATGATTCCCTCTTGGTGACACAATGCCTGTGGCAGAACCGGGCTTCTCATTGCTGGCCAGAGGGTGGATGTCTTGCCAGTGGCTCTCCTCTAAGCATGAGGAAGCATGGTTTCCATAAACTCCAGCAAACCTCCCTCATGTCTCACTGGTCAGGTTGGGCCCTTTGGCCTGGGCTGATCAACTCAGCCTGGCCAGCGGAGAGGACGTCCCTCAGACCAGTTGGTTTGCTCTGAAGCTTGGGCTGCGGTCAGGTTTCCCTGAACACTCAGGCCTGTGGGATGGACCCTGAATAGACCATGGGCTACTTTTAAGGAGGTAGGAGGAAAGAATTGGGGGATGGGCAACCATATGAGCTGTGATCGCAAAGTTGTTACCTTTAGTATCTGAATTTTGGTCCCTTCTGCAATGTCCTGGGACTTCCTCCCTCTCCCCTCCCCTACAAAGCCTCCCGACTTATTCGTGGGGGCGGGTGCTGGTCCTCACACGTTAGCCTGCTCTGGTCTCCCTGCTGAAGTCTGATGCCTGAGACCCCTCAAGGCACCGACAACTGCCCGTCTGCCCCTGCTGTTCTCCCGGGCACCCTGCATTTTCCTGCTGTTCTGCCAGGCACAGCTCTTCTGCGCTGAGGGCGTCTGGTTGTCTCAGGGACTAGGGGAGGATGTCCCCCTCCAGTCTGTGCCCCGCCCCATCGTTTGGGCCCCCAGGCAGGGCTGCTTGAGCTTTTCATCTTCAGAGCGCCTTCCTCCACGCCCATCCTGCCCCCTCACCCAGGTGGGAGTCAATTCACCACCCGTGGCGGGGGCAGCTGCAAACCACCCGCTCCACTGGCCTCTTTTCCCCGCCTCCCCTTCTTTAGTCAGCAGTCAGAAGACCCCCAGCTGCACACAGCTCAGGCACCTCCACTCGCCCGTAGCCCGCCTTGCCAAACCCAGTTCTGAGTGGATCCAAGATGATATTCAAGACGGGTGGAGGATGTTGAAAGGAATTCCTCTCCTGGGCCTTTGAGGGTCACCCCACAGCTGCCTGGTTTGTTTCCTCCAGCTGCTGCCCCTCCTCCCGCTCTTCCCTGCTCATTTCCTCCAGGGCAGAGGACAGACGCCAGACGCCAGGTCTCTCTCACTTGTGGGCTTCTTCTTTCTTTCTTTCTTTTTCAGTTATTACTTAAAATATGTAGTAATTTTCCCCCCACCCCCGCCCCGAATTGAGAACTAGTATGTTGTTAAATTTTGGAAAATACAGAAAGAGATAAAGAAAAAAATGTCTCCCATAGTCCTACAGTTCAGAGGAAAGCACTGTTAACCTTTTGGTGGTTTTCTTTCCAGTCTCCTTTCTAAATGTGTGGATGAATACTCTTGAAAGTATGGTTGGGTCGTGCTATATGCACAGTTTTATATCCTCCTGTTTTCATTGAATAATGAGAATTTGATTGTGAGCATTTTCCATGTCATTAAATATTATTTTATAGCATCGTCTTTCAGTTGCTGTGTGGTTTTCTGTTAGACAGATGTACCATGATTTAGTTTTTCATTATTTTTTAAATAGTGCTATGGAGGGCATCCACGATTGTTTCCACAAAATAAACTTCTAGAGGTGAAACGGGTTTGCTGTTCCACCTCCCAGCCTGAGCGCTGTCCGTGTTCTCAGGGGACAGGCTTCATAGCCCCTTCCTTGGCTTGGAGTTCAAATCCCAAATGAATTCTCCCCTCGGGCAGTGCCAAGATACTTGCTGCATTATACCATCGACCGTCCCTGGGCAGCGGGAGGTCAGGAGGTTTCGGGTCCTTGTCATCACTACCCGCCCAGTACCATGTGATTACACTATGTCATGGTTCCCTTGGCAGTGCCCTTGCAATAAAAGCAGTGCCCAGATGTTTTGGGGGAACGGCACAGGCCCAGGAACTTTCTCATGGGATAATAAAACCTTATAACTCTCGTTACAGTGGGAAGATGCCTGAAGTGGACTATGTGGTCTTGTCGGAATGGTTTGACTGGATTGTGAGGAACATCGACGTGTCCATTGACTTGATAGGTGAGACAGTCCCTCCCTGGCCTCCCTCCCCTGGGCCCAGTGAGGAGGTGGTTGGCTGGGCCTCAAGCAGCAGGGGCGGTGGGCAGGGCCCTCACCATAAGCAATTCTTCCCCTACCTTGACTCGGCCTTCTCCCAAAGGGCAGATAGAATCTGGGGCTTTTGGTCCCTCCTGGAGAAGCACCCTGGCCAGTTCCTCAAACTGCTTTCCCCTCGGTCCCTTGTGATATGATGGGTTTTTTCTAGTTTGTAAAGGAGGGAGGAGGGACAGAACCTGGACCGTTACTGAGACAGGCCGGGTGCCAGGCCCTGTGCTAAGCTCTGGCAATGTACGGAACCTATTCAGCTTCACAGTGACCCTGTGGGGCTGGTGATGTGGAAAGAGAATGAAAGTCAGGATGAGGGTCAAGATGCCTGTTTGGCCACACAGCTGGTCTGCCTCTCCTGCTCAGGGCTGCTGGTAGATGTTTCTCTCCACCCCTTGCCCACATGCCTTCCTTCCCCCTACCCCTCACTTTCATTTCCAAGCCATGAACAGAGTAATTAAAGCCACATATATGTTTTTTAAAATCTCAGTTTATCTCCAGACCACTCCTGAGACCTGTTACCAGAGGCTAAAGATGAGATGCAGGGAAGAGGAGAAGGTCATTCCACTGGTAAGAGCCCCTTTAACCCGGGGAAAGGTGCAACTTCATCCCATCCTGGCCCCACCCTCTGTGAGATCATTGTGCTGTTGTTTCAGGGAGAGAAACAGGAACTGAGCACTTTGGAGGGTGAACTCTGACTTCCTCTGAGCTGGAGACCCTGTGCGGTGTCCAGGTCTGCTTTACTTCCTGTGGCCCCAGACTCAGTGGTGGGCACCCCCGGGGCTCAGAGGCGTCCCTTCTCCTGTTCCCACCCAGATGTCCCCAGGACTTGTTTGGTCCACCTCCTGAAAATTGCTTGCCTTTGTGCCGTCCCCTGGATCCTCGCTAGGACGTGCCCACTTGCTCGCTGTTGCATTGCCAGTGCTTGGCACAGTGCCTGGCTGGGAGGTGAAACTCACTAGTGTCTGCGCAGTGCCTCACCCTTCTGGGTTCTGGCTCAGGGCCACATCAGCTCTAGTCAGGGCTGTCTGACAGGCTTGGACTGCTCTCCTTGCCCTGGTCTCTCACTATCCACATCCCCCTCAGAAATCCATCCTCCACACTGCTGCTTGGGTGACGTTCCCAGTACAGAACACCACGCATGCAGTTCCCTAACCCCACCCTCTTCAGTGCCTCACCACTGTCTAGGATAAAGTCCCCACTTGTAGCATGCCATCCGAGATCCTGCATGATTGGCTTCATCCCCTTCCACTCCCTGCCTTTCATGCTCTGGCCATAAGGAACTAGTTGTGGCTACACATGCTCTCTCTCTCTCTCTTCCCCTCTCTCCCCC